TAATATTTAATTTATTTAAGTTGGATTTTTTGGCACAAAATTCACTTCGAAATGTTTAACTAAAAGAAATTCGTTATTGCATTTCTTATTATTTATTATAATTTCATGCTGATTTAATTTTGTTAATGCAAAATTTACTAATATAGTAAGATTGAGGAATCGATTTGATTGTTCATCCATACGAATTGTTCCGTTGAATGTTAACAAATGTGAGGCATGTCGCACAATAATAGGCCTTAAAAAGGAATTATTAAAAAATGAGCTCCAAAGGAACGAATAAAAAATATGCTGATAATTATAATTAAAACGAATAATTTACCATTTACCAATTATGGTAAGTAAAAATTAAAACTGGCACTTTAAATATTTCAACTGGCTTGGAAATTTTTGAGCAATTTGCAGCTTGCATGCAAAATTTATATGTAGACAAACATGCTTAATTAAAACAAATAAAATATATGCATATTTGCTAAAAATATATTCTTAAGAAATGCTTCAAAAACATTAAATTTCTGGCGAATAGAATTTATAATTTAATTTGAATTCTTACCTGGTACCACTGCTAATGCTAATATGTATTACAGTGCCTTCGGCATGAATAATTCGCACTGCTCGATCATCATTTAAAATTTCTGCTCGTTCAATCCAATTTTGTTCATCGATTGGATAGCCAAGATCAAGATCAATCAAACGATCACCATAAGTTACAAAATATTCCGCATTATATCGAGTTAAATAACGCTGTCCTTTGCAATTTTCAACTGTCATATGCTAGAAATAATAATAAGATGGTAAAAAATTTACGATCAGCTTAAATAAAACTTCGCTTTTGTTCCTGATGATTTTAATTTAATTAAAGAAAACAACGAATTTAAAAGAATATTTTCTTGGATTATTTTCAATTTACCATTAGTAATATGAAGTAATTTTTTGTACCTGAGAATCGGTAATTTTTATCATTCCATTACGTATCAACCACGAATTGTCTTTTTTTCTCAACCAACCCAATTTATGAATGTCACTTTCAGTCGGTTCATTTAATCGTGCACCCATCATTAATATTCGATTATCATTTGAAAAATAATACATTCCATTTGACATTTCACGAATTACTCGACCTGTTGTCGCTCGTATTTCCATCTGCAAAATCATTTCATAAAAATTTCAATTATGTTAAAATGATTTAAGTCATGCATGAATGTAGGGAAGTAATACGTAAGCAATGAAATATTTTTATTAAGTTCCACTCTTTTGGTATATTATTATTCAATGTAACATTTCCAAATTTTAATTTAATCATTTGAATGATACATGAAATAGTAATTGAATAATAATTTAATGGAACCTGTCGCTTATCAATTGTTTCCATTTTAGCGGAACCTTTGTTAACAACTGCTTCAAATTCTTCAGAAGCTGCTTCAGTCCATCGATTTGATATTCGTTCATAAATGCGATGTCGCAAAACGATTACAGTATCCGGTTGTGTTAATTTTACAGCCGTGTAGATTTTTCCCTGTAAAGGTAGGAAGCATTTACATATCAGAAATGAGACATATAAACTTATAAAAATAAAAAAAAAAAACACACTTCGCTTGTTAAAGTCAAATTGATTTGAGAACCTAAATTTTTACTAAAATGATTTGAAATGATTTTTCATCGTTTACTCAAAAAAAAAAATTTATTTATAATGACAAAAAGTAGTTTGCTTCTTTTTTCTCTATTCTTGATGAAATAAACATTTGAAAAAAATTGCATTGAAATACAAAGTAAATAAATAGAGTAATGCATAAGTATAAGTAAAATATGCAATAATTATAAAAACAGAAGCTAACACTTACCACTTAGATAAATAAAACGCTTCGGTATACATTTATATAACTTGAATAATAGATGTATATAAATAAATTTGCAAAAGCAAAAGAAATATAAGTATTGGCATATGTAAGTGAAATAAGTAAAAATATTAATATTTAAATAATGCAATTAAAATAATTTAATAAGCTGAAAGGCGAATAATATTGAATAAGTTTAGCTATGTAGGAATAAAATAATTTATATAAAATAAATGAGAACATATTTCTACGAGTAAGTAAATATATGCATGTAAATATAGCAAAAATGAATGAATGATTTTGTGAAAATGAAAGGTACCCCATATGGTTCGATTTCCACTTCACAACAAACTTCACTTTTCGATGACATCAAACAACCGCTACTTGACTGATGCGCATGATATGTCCGATAGCAAACTGAGCTTTTCGTGCAATTTCTGTTCATTAAGCACTTTTTTTTTCTTCATTTAGCGGATCAAATTTAATTACATTTAATTAATCCACTAATCTATTTCTACTTGCTCTTCCAAATTATGTGCTATTCTCATTTACAGTAATTTACCATGTTAGTTAACTATTACTTTTAAATAATCAAAAGTCAAGTATATTTTTATAAATTAAATTAATGAATAAAATTAATGAAATGAGTACAGTTAATGAACAAAATTTGAGCATTTTCAACCAAATGATTTACAGGATACAGTTTGAAAGATCAGTAATCAAAAAATTAACTTTTTTTTTTCGTAAAAAATAAAATTTTTTTTTTATTACTTATATTTGTAATCATCCACGCTGCAATATTGTTCAGCGCCAGCGCAATCACAAATGCACGTTGTTGTAATCAGTGGAATTCCAAATTTATAGGATGCCGATACCGGGAATTGTTGCTCCATTCGAACGTATTCAATTGTGTGAATTTGTGTTTTCGACCCATCCTATATCATTATCGCCATTATCATTATCACTGTTATTATTATCATTGTTGGTAGTTATTATTATTGTTATTATTATTGTTGTTATTGTTATTGTTATTATTATTATTATTAATCATTATTAATTATCATTATTGCTACTATTATAGCGATTTTTGTAATTTTTGATAATTTATTATGCGAAAAAATTGAAAAAAACAATATCCTTAATTTGGTGGATAAGTAAAGCTACTAAATCTAAATAAACTTCAATTTTTTTTTTGCTTCTACATCAAAAAATTATACTATTGTTGTTTTAATACCGAGAAATTGAGACATAATGTTTCTTTAAGTGTTAAATCAGCAACGGTTGTACTGATTTGTTGAATCCGTTTTCCAGAATCATCCATATTTGCAGCACTGCCCTGAATTGGTGTAATCCGAGTGCAATGCACTTCATTTGTTAATGTACCACAATTTATATGCTTCCATAGCAATGCTAACAGCCTAAAATCGGTAATGCATTCAATTTGCTTCTTCTTGTTTATTTATTTTATTTTTGAAAACAGAAAGAAAGAATAAATTTAAAGAGGTGAGAAAGATTCATTTTTAACGTTAAATGATTTCGATTTCTTCTGTAAACGATCAAAAAACATTAGCTAAAAAATGAACTTACACAAACATTTGATACAATAAAATAATTTTTGAATTATTTATTTCATAGATTTTTCTGTGATTTATGCCTTGAATAGAAAATGTAATAATTTTTACTCACCCCATTTATACAATCATTTTATATTTCAATTATAGCTATACTTACTTTCAAGCAAGTATTGCATAAGAAGTTTATCAAAATGTTTGAATATAAAAGTGGACATTGGAATGACCTGCTAAGTGTACTTTCACTTACAAAATATGAAAATTTATGTTGATTGTGGACATCTGAAGGGTTCTTAGCGGTCACTGAGCTGTCCTTGTAGACTGTGATTCTTAAGTGTATCCGAAATTGATGATAACTTTCTCAATTTGTCGCAGTATACACTAATGCCATAGGCTATTGTTGCATCATTCTTGACCAAAATTGGTCATTCTTCCAAATAGATCTTACGTAACAGATACTAAATTGATGCGTGACATTTAAATTAGAATTGAAATATTTGAAATCAACATGTTTGATATTTGTTACGTAATATTTCATAATAAATATTATAAAATTTTGTAATAATGCGACAATGCAATGCTTTATGCTCAGTTAGCAAACATTTAGAAATAAATAATTAATTTGACTAATTTATCAGAAAATTTTTGGAAAAATTATTCATATTTGTCCGAACTAAAATTTTCAGATTATGCTAGCCGATACATACCGGCAAATAAAAAAAAAAAAAAAAAAAAGGAAAAAGAAAAGGAAAAAGTAAACAGGGATTTCATTAATATTTCTTACTAAATTAGAATAATTTATTTATTTTTTGTTTATCGATAGATTAAAAGGAACAAAAGAACAAATGTACACATACATAAAGAAATTAATCAGATAATGGGAAAATTTTTGCAATGATAAAAAATAAAATAAATAAGATGAAATTATGATCTATTTGTTCGATTATGAGATCAGTAAAAATTAAAAGATGAAAAGAATACAAAAAGAATGGAGTGGCAGAAATTGGTGTAAAATTTAGGAAAAATGAAATGTAAAAAAAAAAAGTAGAAGGAAAAAAGTGGACAAGGAAAAGAACGAAATCGAAATTTAAGATATAAGAAAAAGAAAGAGAAATGGATGTGTCATTTTAACTGTTACATAATTATGTCTTATTAAAATTAATTTAATTATTATGATTATAATTTAGAAATAGAAATATCATTTATTGAGATTGCATGAATAAAGTTATTTTATTTCAATGTTATTATTGTAACTATTGGATTAATATGAGTAATGAAAATAAAAAATTTTTTTCATGCATTTAATATACCTATGAAAAAAAGTGACTTACTTTTTTGGATAGTTTGAAATTTATTGAACTGACACTTTTTTTTGATTCGTTTAAATTGATTTTCATTCTGTGCTATGTTTTCAAAATATGGCCTATATTTTCAATGAATTTTGCTAATGTTTGCATGAACAGTTAGCAATGATATATTCGAAGCGACGAAATTTCTATTGCTTTATAATTAATTTTAATTTTTTGTTTGTTATTCCTTCTCGTCGAGCAGGAATAACAAACAAAAAATTAAATAGAGTTGTTTTTTTTTTTTGAAATTACATTTGTTAACTGAATATTCATATAAGAGATATTTTAAAAGTTAATTGACGGAAAATAAAAGACCATTAAACGGATGAAATTTTTTAACTAACATATTAAGTAATCATTTCAAACAGACAATTTTAATTTCCGAAAGAAATTTTTTCAATCAAAAATTTTCTTCAACATTTGAACGGTTCGTAATTGAGAGGCAATTAGCAGTGATTTGGAATGATGAAAAAATTGTAAACATATTTATATTTGAAATAGAAAAATAAAACAATTTTAAATGTAGGTTGGTTACATTATTCCGTTATTAAATATAAGCAATAATTTTTTATCATTTTGTAAGTGACAAATTTAATTATTTTTAAATAATTTTTAAATGATTGAAAAGAATATTCACAATTGTAACCTTTCATTCAATTTCATTACTAAGTGTACATCTATTTACCTATTGCCGAAAACGAACAATATTTTTTTTGATTCCTCACAAATATTTTTGAATTAAAATTGGAAAAAAATAAATTGAAATCAAAATTTTGCGATATGAAATAAAATAATAGTAATGGAAAGATAACAGTGATAAAATAACTAGGTTCAATGATAAATATTTAAAATTTCAATGAAAATTTGATTGTCCATTGAAACATGCAACTAATTTAATTCATCAATTGTTGATTAAATCAGGAAATGATCAAAATACAGCCGTTAGTGTTAATGGAAATAACTGTTAATGTTGATCATTCAGATGATGATGAGTTGTTCGAATCACCAATTTTACAAAAGTGCATTAAAATTTAAATTGATCAGTTCAAATCTGCATCAATGTTTGTCAAACCAAATGGTCATTTACAACTATTTATGAGAATTTTCAAGTTTATTATAACATAACATGCTCACTGATAAATTAGAGCAAATCCATATAACACAAAATGATAATCAAAGATTATGACAATGAAAAAAAATTTAATTCAATAAAATTTGCATAATATATTAATCAGCACAGTTAATTTCGGTTACAAATTATTTTAAAAATAAATCTTTTTTGTTAAAGATAAGAACAAATTTTTAAAGTGAAAAATTTTGATATCTGATCTAAGTAATTTTAGAATACTCAAATTATAATTTTAGTACGAAATTCCAACGAACCCAAAAGAACAAAGTAGAAGAATAGGTGTGACAACATTCAAATTATGCATCTAAGACAAAACAGGATTAGACGAAGAATATAGTAGAAGTTGAAAATACTAACCAGTTGGCATAAACAGGATTAGCATGACCTCAAGGTCAGTCCCGTAATGATTGAATTGGAATTTCTAGCGAAAATATTATATTATTTTTAATGCTTTCAATTAATTTGAATTTTTGAATAAATGAAAAGTAGCAAACATAAATAATCATTGTCCTATTTGCAGGAAATGATTAAAATTATAATGCTGTTTTACTTAAAAATGAAATCAGACGAACTTAAGTAAGCCTTCAACAAATCTACTACAATAGTGAAAACGAAGAAATTGTTAATTGATGCAAAATATAACATATGGAAATTTAACATCTGTTAGTATGCGTATTTTTACGATATTTTTGATCGACTTAATTACAGTATTTAAATAAAAAATATCTGTTGTAAATTTATAAAAAATCGCAAAAAAATACACTTATTCATTAATGATTGAAACGTATTGCATACTTATCGGAACTTATTAAATATTACATCAATTTATGCGTTAAATTTTGACTTATTCTTTTTGTGCTTAATTTGAAATATAATTTTAATTAGCTTTAATATTCCTCTTTTATTTTTTGTTACCTTTCTTGTCGATCACTTTTTCATTTAATAATCACAAAATTTGTAAAAAATTAATATATTTTCAGAATATTATAAGATTTATCAAAATGAATACAGACTAGATAGTGAATTTTGGTCACTGAGAAGTTCGATTAACGCTAATTTTATGAAAATTCGATGCTCTAATTAGTGCAATCGAATGTATTTTTCTAATTAAGTGCATACTTTTTGTTTTTCTAAATTCATAAAATTTCGCAGATTTCTCTTTTTATCTCTTTGCAAATTTTTTGTTCTTTTTCGTCCAATTTTGCGAAAAGCTGCATTTATTTTTTTCTTTCCAAAAAAATAAATTTTCCAACTTTTATTAAAAATACTACAACATAGCCATGGTAATATAACTATTATAAATGATTTAATTGTGAAAGAGACAATTTTTTTAAAACCCATTTTCAACTTTTATCAAATAAATTATACTTTTATAACTATAATAAAAGTTATGTAATTATGCAAATTAGCAACATTAAAATTCATTTTACATATTACAGAAAGAATTCTGCATAACGAAAATACGGAATTTCTAGCGTAAAAATTGAATTCCTAAATAAGGAATTCAATCTTTTAAAAAATTGTTATTTTTATGCTTATCCAAGTGATAAAAATACACGAAACGATTTTCCATATAAATAAGCAATTGTTAAAAGTTTAAACTGTTTTCTACTAAACTGATCAAAATTACAAATTGCAAATTTAAATGCTCCAATCATTACAGTTTGCTCGATATTGGTACAATTAGCCAATGCATTTTGCGCCACGGTCGATGATGACCGGTCAACTCCGCCTCTCATGATATGTGTCCATAAAATATCGCTTTGACAATTTAGTCATTCCTCAAAACCTCAAAGCCCAAATATTGCATTTCAATAGTAATATTATAATAAATAACTGAGAATAATTTTTTTTTCGTTGTCGCTTCTTTTCCGATTAAATGATATTTAAATTACTCGTACAAAAAAAAAAAAAAAAACTATTTTATGAATTATTTTTTGAGAATAAATGAATGAATATTTATTTATTAGTCAAAAAACTTCCATATTTCTAGAAAATAAACAATCATATTTGTTACAATGGGCAAAAATTTGATTAATTGGTAAAAAATGAATTAATCGAAGCATCACAATGTTATTTTTCGTTTTGTCAACAGCACACGTAATGACGTTTCATGCACGATCACATTTATTGCTAAAAAAAGAAAACAATTATTATTATCATGAAAAAAAATGCAAAACGTGGACGACGTTAAACAGCAAATTAATGATAACACCGAGAAAAAGTTAGCACAAAATATGTTAATTGAAAAATAATTAATAGTATTTCTTTGCCAAAAAAAAATGTAACTTTATTTACAGTTTCCATATTAAGCTGCTAACAATATTCATTATAACTATTTTAGAAACAAAAATTTTAGATTAAAATTTTTGGAGTGAAAAAAGAAATCGTTTTTTTCTGTTTTTTTTTTCATATGCAATTTTGCTTACCATACAGTTTGCAATATTTGCAAAAAAAGTACTAAAACGAATTTTTTTTTTTCATTTTCTTATTTAGCTAACTTTTGAGGAAATTTTTGTGAAGTAATGGTTAGTTTTAGACAAAAGCTAATTAATTAATATTACCTTCCGTTCCACATATTGTTTCTGGAAAATTAGCAAATTAGGCGAGTGGAAGAAGACAACAACACAGATGTCAAATTA